GAGAAGGAAAGGGAAGGAAGGAAGAAAAGGAAAGAGAAGGAAGGAAGAAAGAGAAGGAAAGGGAAGGAAGGAAAAGAAGGGAAGGAAGGAAGAAAAGGAAAAAGAAGAAAAGAGAAGGAAGAGAAGGGAAGGGAAGAGAAGGAAGAAAGGAAGGAAGGAAGGAAGCCCCTGGAACACGTGATAGCATCTGCATTAAATGAAGGGGACGCAAGCACAGACGACATACAGAAACACGGAGGCTCACCTCTGCTTAAAAGCCTTCATGCCCATCTCTCTGGCGGCTTTCTTCACCTCTTCAGGTACGGCGTCTTTCTCAGCTTGAGATATCTGGTACACCTGGTGACCGGCATCCAGTCGGTAGGGACCCCCTTTGCCCCCCAAGCCTGCGGTGTCTCTCCCACCTGAAAAAGAATCCCCCAAAAACGCTTTTTTACCTCCTCCCCGGGGCTGCGGGATTCCAAGTGACCGCCAGGTGGCAGCAAAGGGCAAACGTTTCCTGTATCTCTTGGGTGCCATCTAGTGGCCATTCGGATTTGCACAGCTCAGGTCCGAGAGCCTTCGCGCTTCCGCAGCAAGGGAATATTCCTGCAGGCTTGATTCTCAAGAGACTTCGCAATACTCAGGGGTATTGACAGAAGACAACATTTGCAGCTCAGGGTTGAATTGTGAGCTCCTTGGTGCCCTCTGAGCTTGGTGGTTTTCTTGCAGACGTTTCATTACCCAATTAGGGAACATCATCAGTGAAGCACTGATATTACCTAGTTGGACAAAACCCACTCCCTTCTAGCACCCATGACGTTACCTAGTTGGGTAATGAAAAGTCTGCAAGAAGAAAAGCAAGCTCAGAGAGCACCCAGGACCTCACCTACCTTCCTTCCTTCCTTCCTTCCTTCCTTCCTTTGTATCTCCCTTTTCTTTTTCTTTTTTCCTCCCTTCCTTTCCTTTTCTTTTTATCTCTTTTTCTTTCCTTCCTTTCTTACTTTACTTCTTTTTCTTCCTTTCTTCCTATCTCTTTCCTTCCTTCTTTCCTTCCTCCTTCCTTTGTATCTCCC